GGGGCGAACCCTGCCAATCCTGGAGGAACGCTTTGCACTTCGATGGTGCAAAGCAAAGCCCGAAGCGACTGACAGCCAGTGCTAATCTGTCCAGCGCGGCTTGACACGTCTGGGAGCTGTCACAGATGAGGGTAATGTCGTCTGCATACTCTAAGTCAAGAAGTCGTTCTCCTGGGAGTAGCTCCACACCTTCCAAGTCATGTCCTGTAAATGCAATCTCCATGACTTCATCAATAGCGAAGTTGAATAGGAAAGGTGACAGCGGGCATCCTTGTCTCACACCGCTGGAGATATTGAAGGGTGGCGACAGCCTGCTGTAAGCCCTTACTCTGCCCGTGCTACGCGCATATAATGCTCGGATAATATTTACATATTTCTCGGGCACACCTTTCCTGAGTAGACAATTCCAAAGTGCACATCGATCAACCGAATCGAAGGCACCTTTGATGTCGAGGAACACGACTACGTTGGGCCGCCAATATGTGTGACGGTGCTCCAACAACTGACGCAAGGTGAAGATGTGGTCGATGCAGCCACGACCCCGACGAAACCCGGCTATGCTTTTATGCTTTTTATGCTTATTCACGTGGCCGGTACAACAATGACTGTTAGTACAGGCCGCGGGGGCACTGACTGGTTGACCGTGATGTGATTCGTGTGTATTGATTTGGCTCTACTCGGTTTAAAATCGCCCCCTCGAAGTCCATCCTGGTTCAATGACGCATTGAAGAAGGAACTCACATGAGAATTTCCATAGCGTCCCTGTCTACATTGAACTCGAGAGAATAGATTTGTCAATTTTGTTAAAAACGGGGCATACAACAGCGTTTTTCCAGTCGTTAGGTAAAGAACGGCGGCGCAGTTACTTCACAAACAGTCGCGCAGTTGGACAGCAAAGCTCAACTGGCAACTCACAAAACAGCTGCAGCCTTAGTAGAATTTAGCTCGCGTAGAAGCTTGAGTACCTGAACCTCCGATGTGAAAACCTCCAGATAAGCGTCTACAAGTACCTTTACCTCCAAATTAATAAGCGGCAGACGGGACTAAAGAATAAATACACCTGGATAATGCTCCCGAAGCTGCGACATTTGTCCTGAACTCTATGAGTCTCTGCAACGATATACTACATCGGCTATCACTGTTTCCTGTCGCCGCTGCCGTACTTCATTAAACAGTCGACGCCTTCATGCCAAACTGCCAGTCCTGAGCCCTCATTCTACTCCAACGAAGTTTGAAACTTCCACTGCATTGGACTTACTTGTCTCATCACATTTTTCGTCCACCTAATTCCGGTTCAGCTACCCCCACGGGTACACGAAGCCGTGTCCCATCTGCTTCCCAATCAGAATCTTTGACACGACTTGCCCAGTGAGCCCACGACTGAGACATACGCTGCCGTGGTGAGAAAAACACCCACTGTTCCAATGGGTCGGGCGAAGTCTAAGCCCAAACTCCAGAAAACTGCTTCCCAGACCCAAATGAAATCTGTTCTCGACAAAGTCAACGAGCTAGAAAAGTTGATTAAGGACAGTGCGTCACCACAGTCGCAGATCTCTGGCCGCGCTCTACCACTCTCTCGTGAAAGATGTCTTATCATTGTGAACGACCCAGAATCGACCAAGGACACCACTGCAGAAAGGATGCTGGATGACCAAGGATTCCTTGAGCGAATGATTTCCATTTTATTCGATGATGAATTGGGTATAAACATTATCTCTGCCTTCCGTCTGCGCAGGAAGCAAAAGGATCCTTGCAAAGTACGCCCCTTCAAGGTCGTATGCCAAAGCGAAGAGGAATGCCGACGCATCCTCCGGCGAACCCCACGTTTGAAAGGTGAACCTTTCACGTCCTGAGAGATCTTTCTCCAGAAGATCGTATTAAAATGGAAACAGTCGTTGATGAGCTCCGGTCCCATCGAGTGAATGGTGAGACAGACCACCACATCGTGGATTTTCGCGTAACCAGGAGAAGTCCGAGAATCCGATGGAGGCCAATTCTCCTCAACCCAGGACAGTGGAGCATGAGAACGGACTGCGTGTAATTTTTGCCAATGTACGCAGTCTGAGAAATAAACTTGATGAGGTACAGATGCATGCGTCAGATACTCGCCCAGACCTGATGGCCTTCACCGAAACCTGGCTTTTTGCGGACATTATAGATTCAGAGGTCTCTATCCCCGGATACAGTCGCTATCGAGCCGACCGCCTTGGAGGTAGGCCCGGTGGCGGCGTCATACTTTACTGGAAGGCCGAACTCAAGGCCCATTTGGTTGCAGCTACTAGTGGGGACGATGGTGAGTTTGGTGCCGTAATAATGATGGATGCCGATCCTACGCTATTGGTGTTGTCTACAGAGCGCCATCGGGATCCGGAGTTCATTTGCTCGATTCGATCAGGAAATACGGCGCGGGAAAGGACAATCTTATCGTGGGGGACTTTAATGCCTCTAATATCGATTGGGACTTCTTTGTGGTCGTCCACCTGATTCCTTTGATGCTACCTTACTTGAGACTGTTATCGATTGTAATTTGTTTCAACACGTCACCGTGCCAACCCGCATTGTTGCCGACCAAACGCCGAACATTCTGGATCTTATGCTCACCCCAGCTCAGTCAGATGTCACGAATCTAACAGTTCTTCAACCCATCGGCAAAAGTGATCATTGTGTCGTTTCATTCTAATGGATACGTCGCCTCACGATCCATAGCCAAGGTGGTTGTCGTCTGAACTTTTGACATACGGATCCTCTCCATCTGAGAACAGCCGCAAGCCCTATGGACTGGAGTATTCCTGATCCCATTCCCCTTGATGATGCGTGGAACCTTGTGCTCTCCAAAATGACTTCTCTAATTGAGCAGGTCGTTCCTTTCTCCCGTAGAAAGTCCTTCAAGTGGGGTCCATCTTGGATTGACAGTGAACTGAGATCTCTGATGAACAGAAGACGTAAACTGTGGGACCGTTTCAGGCAATCTCAGAGTTCGATTACTCTTCCTACAAGACTACCAGAAATGCTGAAGCGACAGAAACGTCAGTAATATGAACTATCATTTGCGACACATTCCAAAACGACACCCAAAATGCTTTGCTATCTGAAAAGAAGCACCAGGGTTGGCAGTGGCATCTCTATCTCGTGTTCCTTTGAACATCAAAATTTACTTTACGAAGACACTGATAAAACCAGTCTTCTGGCCCAGTAGTACGCCGGTCTTCGCGAAAAAAACTCCCGCCTGCGACAACGGTGTCCAGTTTCCCTTATCCGTTGGATCAAGCAGACATTAATATCAATTCTGTAGTTAAAATTCCCCTTGATTTAGATCCGCATTCTTCAACCGGCCCGGATGGCTTGCACCTCCTGTTCCTTAGGACTGTGGCGCAGTACATCGCCCCTCCTATCTGTCAGGTCTTCCGTCTGTCATCTGAAGCTGGGCGTCTTCATCGGCTTGGAAAGTGGGCATTGTAAAACCAATATACAAAGGAGGGAACAGGCAAGATCCAGCCAACTATTGTCCCATCTGCTTAACGTCGATATTGTGTAAAATTACGGAGCGGATCTTGAAGCAGACTCTTCATTACCTCGAGGAACTGAATCCCTTCTTTTGTGCGCAGCATGGTTTGCGAAGGGCACGCTCATGTACCTCGAACTTACTGGTTGCTAAGGAGAAATGGGCGAAATCGCTGGATTCCTGTAAACGCCTGGACGTTGTGTTTGTGGATTTCAGCAAAGCTTTCGACAGGGTCCCGCAAGAACGACTTTTGCTTAAACTCCGAGGAATCGGTATTGCCGAGAATCTTCTCTCTTAGATCTCTGATTTCCTTCGCGATTGCACGGTGCAGGTGCAAGTAAACGAAACATTTCCCGCCCCTGTTCTCGTAACTAGTGGAGTCCCACAGGGTTCTGTCCTCGGCCCAGTGCTTTTCAACGTCTTCATCAATGACTTACCGTCCATACTCCAGGCGGATTGTCTAATCTACGAAGACGACCTGAAGCTGCAGAGGAAGATGCTGACAGGTTGCAATCGACCTGCTACAGTCAGTTAAGTGGCAGTTGCCAATGTATCATGAGAAGTATTCGGTGCGTCTGCCCCATCTGGAATCTACCATATTGGTGGTTCATTGCTCAGAAACGCCACTCAGGAGAGGGATTTGGGATTGATACTTTCGTCTGACCACAAATCTAATGAAGATACCAAGAAAAAGGTCACTGCGGCCTACAGGATGTTTCAATCTATACGCAGAGCCATTCTCTCGCCTGGCCCCGGGGATCTTCCGACTCCTGTTTACTTCACATGTACGCCCACTTCTCGAATACGGGCTACCTGCCGCCTACCCTCTTACGAAATTTGAATGTGATATGATTGAGAAGGTTCCACGGCGTGGATCAAAATCTGTTCCTGAGTTGCGGGACATGTCCTATTCTCCGACTCAAAAAACTGGACGTCTTTTCTCTGGATTACCGTCGTCATCGCGAAGACTTGATCTTCACCCGACGTATTCTTAGAGGAGAGTTGGGGAGGGAATTACAAGAATTCTTTCATCTCAACACAGAGAGTTCAACATGAGGCCACAGTTTGAAACTGTTCAAACTGAGGAGTGATCGAGTGCGATCTAGTCTGGCTTTATCCACTCGCGTTGTGAATGATTGGAACCGCCTTCCGTAGTCCATCGTCGTTGCCGAGACGGAGGAACGTTCCAAGCATTTATTTGATTCTCATTTTAGTTTACGGGAATCCAGCTGTTTCCAATGCAGCTTCAGTGGTTCGCTGTGGAACCTTGTTCCGCAATGACCCAGGCTATCTCTGAAACGATTGGGAAGTGACGGAGCTGACAAAGGAACTTCTGCTCTCTATCATCCAATGATCCAAAAGGATTATCAGGATCCGGAGTCGTAAATCCCTAACCGTGAACAATCATTCACGGTTGCATATTAACTTGATGTGGAAAGGTGGCATTGCAAGTACAATGTCCAGAATTAATCGACGAATCGGCGTGGAAGAGACTTACGTTGAAGCCCTCTTCGCTGGTGCTCACTACGGATTGGAAAGGGCTTGCCGGCTTGGCTGCAGTGGCAGTTACTGCTGTCCGTATTTGTAAAATGATTCCTGAGTTTCTGAATATCTACAAAGAAACTAGAAGAAGGTTGCCGAATACATACCCGGTGCATCACAGTAGAGAACGGGCGAAAACCTGAGCAAACCAAACCGGCAGCGGGGAACCGAACAGGCGAATCAAGATCGAAGTGCTGCCCAGTAGTTGCAGATGTAGCAGTGTAATTTAGAGATTGCGACATTTGCCGTTTGGTTGCGCTAGTGTGACGCAAACGACCACTAGACTGCCATTCTAAACCAATATAGCTTTTAAACTGTACTTTAGTGTGCTGAAACCCTAAAAAGCGCTGCCCCGGATTCGAATGCACGTAGATACGGTTAGTGAAATGCTGCAAATTCGGTAACTAACTTGGACAATAAAATAACAAATGTATGTTCTACATCGCATACTATGAGCAGTGAAATGCCCACTCTCAAATATAGTCTCCTGTTTTTATGAATGCCGTTTGTTACTAATTCGGAGTCTCTGGAGTCATATTTTCAGATTCAGATGGACTGGAACGATAGAAAAATTCCTTGAGTGTTCCTTCTTGAGCAAATCGTTCAGCCAGGAAATGATAAGGTGATAGTTCTTGATAGATCTAAAACGAAACACCCGAAACACACCCTGATCAACCAATTACTGTCCACGTTCCCTGCACCAGCAGTCCCCGCTGTGTAGGTTACGCGAAGTAAGAAAGAAGTAGAAGTAAATGGAAGATAAAGGGATGAGTCATTTAAATGAAGGACAACACCAAAGAGTGAAGTGAATGACATAATAAGAGCTAAAAGTTTGAAGATGGATATGGTCAGGAGAAGTGAAAGGTTTCGTGTTGCCACCCAAGAGCGTCTAACTGACGCTGGAAACCTTTAACCGTAGGTTCACTGACTACACTTTCTGGAAGCGAGTTCCAGCGATCGATAACTCTACGCGATAACCGAGTTTCCGCCCTGATTCCGTCAGAACGTGGCTTTTGTGGCTTCATGTGATGACCGCGAAGACAAGGTAACCTAGCCTGACTAAATAGCCAGCTCAAGTCTGGTCCAGCCTTCCCTGTTAAAATGGGGTAAGTAAGGATTAGGTCTCCTCGAGGCCGTCGGTAGTGCATTGAATACATACCCAAGCTAAGTAGACGCTCGGGGTACGATTGCCCCAGTAACCCCTCGACCAATTTGGTGCCTACTCTCAAACCCTCTCGAGCTCCATTTTGTCCCGAACAGGGCAGGGCGGGCAAGCCTGGACGCAGTATTCCAGATGGGGCCGGACAAAAGCTGAGGACGGCTTCACAAATATGTCAGCAGTTAAGACCCCGAAAGAACGGCGTATTAACCACAACATTCTGAAACCCCTACTTGCGGCCTTCTTCCATTTTGTCACCAGAATGCAAAGACGAGGAATGAACGACACCTAGGTCTACCTGGTTGGAGACAAGGGGGAGTTCGACCCCACCGAGTACGTAACTCGAAGGCGGGAAAATTGCTCCTATACGAAGAACGGAACACTTAGCCTGACTAGTGGGCAGTAGCCACAAAGTAGACCAGGCCCAGAGTCTGTCCAGTGCATGCTGTATGGCCTAGAACCCCCAGGAACATTTACAACATTCCATAGCTTAAGTTCATCAGCAAACAATAGGGATGATACCCCAAGCTCTCCAGGGAGATCGCTGACGTAGATGGAGAACAGCATCGGTCCAAAGACCGAGCCCTGTGCGACACCGCTAAGAACCGCTTGCCTAAAGGATAAGCTGCGACCCACACGTACACACTGCTCTCTTCCCTGCAAGAACGCAGATACCCAGTGAAGGGCGCGGCCAGATACGCCGTAGGACCTCAGTTTTTGTGATAGCCTTAAGTGGGGTACCTTATCAAGTGCTTTCGAAAAGTCTACGATAAGCACATCCACTACGTGGCCATTGTCCACTGCCTCGGCCCAAGCTTCACGAGCAACCAACACATTCGTCAAACACTAATATCCCTTCCGGAATCCATGTTGTGCACTACTGAGTAGATTAAACCTATTCAGGTGACATTCCAACGAATCTCACCAGATTTTCAAGCAGTTTGATCACGATGCTAGTCAGACTAACTGGCCTATAATTGGCTGACAGACTCTTGTCGCCATTTTTGAAGATAGGACAGATGACAGCCTCCTTCCATTCGGAAGGTAATGTACAGCTGTCGTGATTTCTGAAACATCATCGTCAGCGGCCCACTCAGTTCCACCGCCAACTCATGCAGAAGCTTCGGGTGAATTGAATCAGGTCCAAGTGCTTTGGAAGGGTTCAGCTGTTGCAGCAGTTTAAGGACTTGCGTTTCCACCACAGTAAACTCAGTCAAGTAGGAACCCTCGGGTACTATGGGGACAAGTTCAAGGCTAGTCAACGCTGCCTCACGTACAAAAGCCCCTGCATACTGTTCCCCAAGTACAAGCGCCTTAGCTGAGTCCGCATACGTACTAGTTCCATCGGCCCGCATCAAAGTTGGGATTACCGAAGTTGAACCGCAGGGTCACTTAACATAAGCGAAGAACTTCGGATTTTCCGAGGCTCAATCGGCCAATTCCTTTTCGTACACCAGCCGAGCTTTCCTTGAGTGTTGTTTACACCTATTTCCGTTTGTAGTGACCTGGAGATACCCCTGTATAACTTTGTAAAGTATTCTAAAATATATTAAAACTATAGCTTTCTTATGTATTTGGCAATTAGGCGCGTTGCCTGTCGGATCGTTGTTCCCATTTGTTTCAAACACACAATCTCCTTCTAGGGGGCACGCAACTCATGCGAACGACGTCCATTCCACACACTCGACCCCTACTTCACCCTTCCTAGTTAGCTCTCTTTTGGCGCCCTAATTTTAGCCTTATCTGGCTCTACTCCCCTGCTCCGGTGGGGTTACACAAGGCTCCGTTTTTGGTCCCAAACTATTAAATAAATAAATAAATAAATAAATTTTTATTCTCGACATTGCGAGGCACACCTTCACAGGCATGATCATATTTAGCTAACATAGTGTGATCAAATTGTACAAAACGACATGTTTGGCATAACAGTGTATGTAAGTATATGGGTGTACATACGCATGTAATTCTCTGCAGGAATTACATGCAGAGAATTACGGCGAGCCGGCGATTTACTAACCACGCGCTTGCATGCTAAGTCTCTTTATTTCAGGTGGTAGGTTTACAGTTTTCACCTTAATGCTTCTCTTTCTCATATAAATATCTCCCTGAATTTTATTCCATTAACTTGCGCACATCGCCTAGGCCAATTGTATTCGATTTCCATAACATTTTTGTGTTCTTGGCATGCCGTGAACTACACTTCCTGACCTCGTGCACTTAGCTAGGATTTGTTTGTAAACAACTTATTACATATGCTATTTAATTAAGGTTTATATCGCCGTTTCCTTATGCATTAATCGAGTTTTTCTCTTTTTCTTTCTTTCTCTCTCTCGCTCTCAAGTGTTTGGCTGTTGTTTGATATACCCGGTGTGGATGTGCTTGATGTGCATGTTGACAAGGTGCCCACCTGCCTATTACCCACTACCTCCTACATCTGACTCCAGGAGACAGTTGGTCGTTTCTGGAGGGGACGGGGTGCACGGTCCTTGTGGCCGCGTTAGGATCAAAGAGTGGTTCCATGCAGCCAGTGTGGAGCGGACTACGGTCCAGCCACCGCCTTGTGTGCGCTTGATTCCCAAATACAGTGTGCTTGTATTTGCCTGTGAAGGAGTGTGGGCCGGCTCCGTTGATGAAACGTGGTTCCCATCCGCATGCCTCCCGGTCTTATTCCTTCGGGTTTACACTGGATATGGGGTGTGTGGTTGGAGCTGTGGGTGGTGCAGCGCAAGCCATCCATGGTCCCTCTGTAGGCGCAGGCGTCCTGTGGCTTTCCACAGTGACAGGCAAATCCGAAACCGGATGCCGCTAACCATACGCATGTAATTGTGTAGGAATGCAGCTTGTGTTTTTGAATGCGCCGCAGAATTTTTAACTGTTTGTTATCGTCAGGAATGTGAGAATAAGCGTCTGCTTTTCATGGGTTGGATAGCATTTTCCGAATATCCACGGGTCAGTGACTTTAGTTTGTGTCGAATCACATCCGCCACGTCGCAGTGTTGTTAAGCAGACATTTGTGGCTTTTTATAGGGAGAACGCTTGCCAGGCGAAAACCCACCACGTCCTGGAACACTGCCGCCGAACTATTTGCTGGAACGGGTTAAACCAGAACCACCCAGTTGGCACCACGAGGAGGTTGTTCGACTTTATCAACGATCGCCTGGAGGTGCTACAAATCGACCATTTGAGCTATGCGGTTGAGTTTAACCTATGGTCAGCAGTAACCAAGCTTGAGGATGCTGACAACTTGCAAATGATGCTCAATCTGCTGCACGATTGGCCTGTCATGTGGCGAATGCCTATCAATCGTGATAAGTTCTGGTTTCTCCCGATTGGTTATCAAGCACCTTTCGGTGCTTACCACAGTGGTGATGTTCTGCTGAAGTATGTGGTTGGTGAGGATGATTTGGGTGTACTTGTTTCTCCAGACCTACGAACAACCCAGGACACGTTGCGGTAGTTAACATCTGTCAACAGGGTGCTCTGTGCCATACAAAGTTTGTGGTACAAATTGAAACCGCAGAACTTCAAGCTCCTGTTTTCCTCCCACGTTCGTCCAATACTGGAACACGGACTACCTGCCATGCCCCCACTCACGAACTTTGTAAGTGAGTTTATTGAGAAGATTCAGAAGCGCGGATCTAAGTCTGGGTTTATGCCACGGATTTTACCTTATCCCCTTTGTCTCCAACGTATGAAATTATTTAATATGGACTGTCGCTGTCGTCAGGATGACCTGATTTATACTAGACGCATTTCAATAGGGCATTTGGGGAAGGACGTGCAGCAGTTCTTTCAACTCAATGCAGGTGGTTCCTCACGGGGCCATAACTTAAAACTTTTTAAACCTCTTAGGAACCATATCCGGCCCCACGTCGCGTTATCCATACGGGTTGTGAATGAGTGGAACATGCTCCCTGAATGTGTGGTAAATGCCTAGACAGAGGAAAGTTTAAAGGA